CGAGCCGTCGGAAGTCGACCATAAAGTTTTGACCGATTGTCCATTATGGTTAAACTGTCTGTCCCGTACGACTTATTGTCCCGACGTCGCGGCGTGCCGATGACAAATCACCACATTAGCACAAACTTTGAATATCATGCAATTGGTTTTCTTTTTTACAATTTGTTGGCGACAGCTATTATATGCCTTTCGCCTGATATTCTCATAGGCGGTACATTGTGACGCGAATAACCGATCAATTTTTCCGTCAAGAGTGATTTAAAGGGACAGACGAATGAGTTAATTCGTTACGTTATGCGCGTGCCTTTTATATAACAAACTTTATAAATATTGACAAATATTTTTCACCGAGAGCTTGACTTATTTATTTTGTTTTGTTGCTTTTTATTTTTTAATCCTCGTGTAATGTTAAGAACGGAAAATAATTACTTGCAATTCAGCAGATCTATTTATTCCTTTTATATCAAATATAAATTTATAAAATAAACATTTGTGTATTTGTATATTAAATCTATTTCTACGAATTTTACCGTAAATTCGTAGGAGATACCACCCATTCGATTAATTCTATGATACTTTTAATATTTAAATACGTGTTTGTGAATAACCTTTATTCTACTCGTTAATGCTTGTTTACTTACATACTTTATGTTCTTAATAAATTTTCTAGTACCGTAATTGTCTTACACTTTGTGCATTCTTTGTCTATAATTATATAAGCAATTTCACAGCTAATGTTATGCACATATTTTACATATTCGTTGGTAATTTCGCAGTTCGATTATTACATGAAACTATCATCCAGATATTGATTACATTTAGTAAAATTTCATGTAAAATTATTAATTGTATTGAATTTTTATTAAAAATGGCGAAATGAAGCTAATAATAAAATATAGCATTATTTTATAAATTAGAACAATGAATTCCGAACGAATGTAGATGAACGTACAGCTGTTGAGGGCTGCCCGTCGTTTTCTAATAAATATTTATCGATAAAGGTGTCTTTTTCATCTATGAGTAGTACATTCATTGTTCCATGAACATTCAAAGACTACAATGGATTTTGTAAAAGTAACGACCTGTATCAAAAGCATCAATAATCCCTAAGGTTATCCACGATTTTTCTTTCATTTTCTGTTTTCTAAGCTATCATTGAGCGAGAGTTCGAGAGATCGAGAGATCGAGAGATCGAGAGAGAGAGAGAGAGAGAGAGAGAGAAAATGTCACTATCTTACGTATTGCTAAAATGTTAAATATCTATTTGAGAAAAATGTATATGCAATGAGAATCCTTTCTAAATTTATTGTTCGAATTGATTGATTTTAACTCATTGGCCAATGGTAGGATTCGCTATATCGGAAACTGATGTTCGACTGATGTGGCCGTTGATGATCAAAAATGCACGTGCAACGTAAAGTCGAAACGTGGACAAACAATCAATTTCTGGAAGCAACAAAAGCCCTTACTCACCCCCGGCTAACGATAAAAGAGAGGATACTGGCTCCCGGTGGCAAAAGCTGTCGTGGGCAGAAGAGGCGAGGTAGGCGATAGTCGAGAAGAGGGTGGACATTGTTCGGGAGCACTGGGGTAACGGCAACGTCTCGCTCCGAGTGTTACGATAAATCAACCCTCGAAGCGGTGTAGGAGCGGCACCACCCCCGCCCATAAGCGCGCGCCGTCTATACGCATTGTATGCCGTGGTCGCACTCTTCCCGACCTCGGTCCCGATGAATGTCCAGCTTGCGTCTTTTTATACGTAGACCTCGTATTAATGATGAGAGGTCGAGAGGATGAGTGCCCGCGAGCGGCCGTAGGTATCGTCGACTCGATGAAGCACGATCATTCTTTATTCGACTTTTCATTCTGTCTTCCTCTTCTTTTTCGTGACAAGCAGCACGATGCGGTCGCGTGCTGAGAGATCGAAACCAAATAATGAGAAAAGGGATGCTTAAAATTATTTATTTCTACGAGTCGCCATTGTGACGCTAATATTGTCCCAAGTTAATTTCTTACCATTGAATTACTGAAAATTTTATTCTACTTTATGTTTGATAATAACTTATTTAATTATTAGCCTTTTCTTACCTCTATTAATCTGTATTCCAAGCTCGATTAATAAATTTATTCCTACTTCATTATCAGAATATGAAAGTAAATTTTTATACCTGAGAGCCGTTACTAAAATGGGTCACTATTACCACAATATTTGTATTATAGGTTACCGATTACATCTTGTTAGTTCATAATCATTCTAACTTTTATTTAAAACTCTTTATACATGTGCGCGCGCTCGCGCATGTGTATGATCCTTTACTTTTGTCGGAACTTGTAGAAAATAGATTTAGAAATGGCATTTGATGCATGTGAGAAATGATAAATGTTCAAAGAAACGATTAAGCTGACGCATATCGTTTTCCGAGAAATTCCTTTTGTTTATAAATATTTCTTTAATTACTACATGAAACGCCCATTTAAAAATTAAATTATTCGTTTGTTTATATGTATTACAAGGTTACATTCTTTTATTCAATATAAATCGCAATAATAAGACGCCAATCGTCATGTTTCATTAGCCAGAAAACGCTCGAATCTACAATACATTTTAGCGCATAATCGTGAAAATTCTAAAAACACAGACATTACGAAACACTTAGCTAAATGAGCACTCGGAATATAACAATTATTTGAATGTATGATTTAATAAATATTTTATAATGTTCGTTTGGCTTTGTGCTGCTTTAACCTTTTCCCCATTAATATACAATTTTCATGATTTTAATGTCAGTTCATAAAGTCTTGTCATTATATTAATATTTGCAATTAGAATCCGCATTACTTGTGAAGTAATGTGATTGCAGGTGAGTTTGGGTAAGTAACGTAAGTGAGAAATCAACATTAAATTTGGAAATAATAAAACATGACCAATGTATAATATCAATTTTAACGTTTGCCGCTACTATATCTCTCAAAGTACCCAAATTATTTGCAATGTTAGTGCAAAGTCACAAGATTCAAGCACCGTGACGCGTTGGACAATTTGAGAACAAAGCGCTACAATAATAATTTACAATCGTTAATCGATAAATTCAGTGCACGTATGACGATGAGTGGACCGCAAAGGAAAAACGTTTATTATTTAAACGAGAATGTCCCGAGCGCAATGGTGAAGCGACGCTGGGACGACACTCGAAATTTCCAATGGCGCGCGAGCTCCGTGCGCTCGGCCCCTCGACGCTCATTCGGGGTCGCGACCCGAGCAAACCCACCCGGAGGGCTGGGCCCACGCGCCTTTTGCAGCCCCCGGACACCGCAGTCGGGGTACCGCTGCGTATGGCAGATGCCCGTCCCGCTTCTTCCTCTTGAGCGCACCGCAATAAGCGCACGACCGCCGAGTCGCCATGTCATCGCTTACGAGGAAAGTGACAAAAGATGCGGAGCTTCGACCGAAGCGTGAAAGCGCTTTGTTTCAGCGGCGCTTGTCGCTTACGCGGATCACCGATCGACCCTGACCGTACGTAAGTGAAAGTGCACCCGCGATCGCAAAGTCAAGACCCCGAAATGCGAATGTAGGGTTGGGCGGCCCTTCGGAGGGAAGAGATCGCTGGGAAACGTCATTGCCGTTACATTTTAGCAGACTCTGTTTTATGTATTTCATTTTTCACCAACGATTCCATCATTTATTGATTGCACGTTAATTTTTGCAGTTCGTTTTATCCAAATAGTCGAGACTCTAATGTCAATTATCACTTTAAAAAATCTATCTAAGGTATAAGGTAATCTTTAATAGCAATTAATTTTTATAACGGCTCAAAATGAAGGACAGAACGTGGATTATTATTGTATTGAGAGAGAAGCTCGTCTGATTATTTATTCCACAATATCACTTACGCTCTGCTATACGCGCGAATAAAACATTAAATTTTAATTTTCGTACATGAATGCTATTAAATTAATACAATTAATTAATTATATTTGAAATATTATATATATATATATATATATATATATATATATATATATGCATAGGTATTGATTTGACAATACACAAGGAAATTCAAGGCACTTTGATACTAAAATTTAAACAATAAATCCCAAGACGGATCCAAGCCACTTGGTCGAACAATCCAACGTAAGACATCCTGATGGAGCGTCAAGTTGACCTTCCCCACCCCTTATTTTCCCTCTGGCACGCGTACCTCTCCAACGTATATGCCTCGCGTGGTCACAGATTAATTCCAACGACAAAGCTCCCCCCTCCCCCAACCCGCCCGAGCCACTACCGTTGTTAATCGGGCCTTTGACGCTCCGGCCTACCCTTCAGCCTACCGAAACCCATCTCAGCCCCCGGGCTTCTCGCTCGAATGGCGAAGGGGGCGCGCTCGACTCGTTCTTCAACTACCCCTCCCCCTTCACGAGCTCCTCGTGAAACGCCCCAATCGCCACCGAGAGGGGGTGGGCTTGCCACTATTCATCCCCTCTAGGGCTGCCAGAGTGGCGAGCCTATAAAACCGACTAAGAAATCCTGCACGAGCCAGTACGTGCCAGTAACCCTCGGAGTTGGTTCTTCCCACGTTTAAATTGTTACGTCCCCCCCCCACCCAAACAGCCCCTTGTTTTTAATCCGATGTATGATGCACTCGGCTTTTCCAACTAATTAGTCGGGTTTAAGTTTGCCAGGCCTATGAAGTGAAGTGCATTGCCGACGGAAATACGTTCGCTGATTGGACATTGAAATTTTAGCCGCGAATAAAGAGAGATCGGAAAAAATGTGCGACACCGAGAGATCACACTTTTTTCGGCCGTGGAATTGCTCGACCGAAGAAGAGGATGATGACGATGATGAGGAAGAGGACGAGGATGAAGAGGAAGAGGAGGATGAGGAGGAAGAGGAGGACGAGGAGGAGGATGACGACGAGGAGGAGGAGGTGGTAGTGCCGTCACCCTTTACTTCCGGAACGACGACCATTATTTCCGAGCATTCGGATGCCAGCAGGAAAATGAAGGTCGAGCACGAGGAGGAAGACGATACGGCGAGTGTCATATCTTCGTCCTGCTCGACGCGTAATTACAGCTCGGAAAATGATTCGGTCAGCAGGAGGTCCTGCTCCGTGAGCAGCGAGGAAATGGGCAATGGTAGTCTCAATATGCTCAGCAACTTTGTGCTCGGCAGTCACGATAAAAATCAGGCCAATGAGCGACGAAACTCCAAGAGTGCGATAAGCAGAGGCGAGGAATGCTACACGAACGCCACTTCGCTAGCAGAATGGAATAACGTCAAAGCCTCCAGCCTCTATTATCCTACTTCGTCTATTTACGAGTGCTCTGGTTATCAGTCCCACTGGCCCTTACAAAGTATGTACATAAATGGCACGGGAGGATTCTCCACCGATTACGCTTGGTTACCAGCCAATTATCAAAGTGTGCAAGACGCGGTCAACAGGCTCAGCCACCAAGACGCCGTGGCCAAGCAAATAAAAAAATTGCGGCCGAAAAAATTCAGATGTCACTATTGTAATGTGGCATTCAGTAATAATGGACAGCTCAAGGGCCACTTGAGGATACACACCGGTATGACTGATATTTTACTTAAAACGACATCTTAAGCTAACCTAAGCATAACATTACTGACAATCGCCAATAATTTACCCCTCAATCGATTGCAATTCTCCGCTAGACGAGCTACGAGGCTCTGACATTTACTAAAAGCTTTTAACGTATTATCTTAAAGGACTTGTTGCCCACGAACGTGAATAATTACCATCCTTTTTTTTTCTCATTGCAGGTGAAAGACCATTTAAGTGCGATGCCGAAGGTTGTGGCAAGTCGTTTACGAGGAACGAGGAATTAACGCGCCATAAGCGTATTCATACCGGACTGAGGCCTTACTCGTGTCTCATTTGCCGTAAGGGTTTCGGTCGTAAGGATCATCTGAAAAAGCATACGAAAACCCACGATAATCGAAATGTTTATCAACTTGCGGCCGCGGCGGCCGCCGCTGCTTCCACACCTTTCGCCGGCTTTCACTTTGCACATCATCCGTCGATATCTATAGGAGGAATTCCGTACGCCTATCCCCTTTGATCCCAACAAAAATTACATAATGATAAATTGGATAATTAAAATTTTAAATTTAATCTAATTATTTACTAATGAGCAAAGTCAAAAACTGCTTGATTAGCCGCTTAAATGTGCGTGATTTTTGCAATAAAATCGAGTATTCCGAAGAATTCTAGTATCTTATCTCACTTTTCTTTGATTCTGTTCAAACATAATATATATATATATATATATTATTTTAGGATGTGATCTGCAGGGAAAATACAAACAAGTATTGTCATTTGTCAATGTTTAGGAATTATTGTTGGAAATATTTATGCAAAAATGCAAAACGAAAAATGATATACTGTAACCAGTGATACTTCTTCGAATATGGTTTTTGATTCATTTCTAGTGCGATAAGATGAAAACAAAAATCTATTTGTACATAGTACCTTCTATCGACCTTATTTTAATGAATCGAGAAAATAAGTGATAAAGTGATAATTACGATAAGGATATTAATTTGATTATTTAATGTTATACTCGTGTATGAATGATAATGAAAAAAAAGCAACTGTCCAGAAATAAATATTTCACATAAGCCTTTCACATAAGCTATAAGATAATAAAATGATGCATTTGATAATGTAAATAATAAAAGCACGAAAGTTCCTTCATTATCTGATCAAAAGATCGACAAATAATTTATTATAATTAATCTGAAAAATTCTGATCGTAAAACATAATAATCATATTTTTGATAGAGTTTTATCATGGATCGAAAAAATCTGAAAATGAAAGTACAATGTAAAATAGCAAGGAATACAATGAAAGAAATTGAAATTATTAGTAGAAATAGTATTAACATTCTTACGTTTAGTATAGAAAACAATGTAAAATATTGTAAATAACAAATTTTATTTCATAAAATGCAACTATAATCTATTTTCGTGAAATAATAAATTTCAATGATATTTATATTAAATAAAATTTTTTTTATTATTATTACACTTATCACAATCCACTTCCACCAATCAACTATTAAAAATAAAAAGAAACACGATTATTCACGGGTTTCACTATATGAATTTGATCGAATAAATACCTTTTTGTATTATTATTGTTTAATTAACTTCCATTGATTATGCATACGCTACTTCAACTTTTCCTTATTAATAATTCGAGCCATCGGTATTATATAAAAATTATTTGCTAATATCGATTAATCTATTCGATGGAATAAACTCACCGACTCGCAGCATAAAGTAAGTATTACTGTCGTATAAAATTCATTTTGTATGAAAAAAATACTAGGTACAATAATGAAAATACCAGTGAACGCTTTCCAGTATGTTTGATGAACGTGTGTTGGTAGAGTACGAAATGAAATTTGCACCCAATTTGCACAATACCTTGCCGGCAATGCAAATGATTAATAGTAATATCCTCCGAACGGAAAGTACACAAAATATAGACCAGCGACGCCACCATTTTCCCGTCGATTAAATCTAAGATGGCGACGGTGGTTGGTGGCTGTTCGACCAGTTAACCCCCTAAACGATCGTTTCTTGCTACCCCAAATCTCATTCTTGCGCAGCCCTTCCTCATTCTGTATTTTGGCTTCCTTTTGCTTTATTGCTACACATTACAATGTTTTTCAACATTTCCTTCTCTTAATCTTATTCAGTAAGTTGACACCATTCTTACTTATATGCAAAAGAAAAAATAATATTACACAATTTATTTTCAAGAATATTATTAGAAATAGTACGCAAAATAATCATTACGTATGATGATTACATAGTATCGTATGAATCTGGGAATAATGAATTTATTGATAACTTATAGTGACATTTATCAATACAAAATTTCATTACTCAATGATAGCTTATGCTTATATGTAAATGTAAATACGCAGAAATCAATGTAATGAGAAAAACATTTTTTAATATTAAAATATCGATTATTCATCAAAAAGTAATATAAAATGTTATGGATTTAATTATTGGTTTATTATTACTGAAGTGTATTTGACGTTACGTCAACTATATATAAAGTATTAAAACTATTTAAGAAATTAAATTATTAATAAAGATTAATTAAAATACTTTGATTGTGTATATGCTTATTCTAGGGTATTATTATGATATATACTGTAACGTACACCAAGTTTAATTAACAAAATTACTAAAAATAATATTCAATTTGCTACACTCACACACACGCACGCACGCAAGCACGCGCAAACATACAAACATGCACGCAAACATAGAGAGAGAGAGAGAGAGAGAGAGAGAGAGAGACGTGTAGATACTCGCACACGCATACATCTTCGATTTAGCCACACACGCACACGCGCACACACACATTGTATATACATTAAATATTCATAGTAATTTTAAACGTAACTTCAATTTAATTAATACCCATACAGATTTTTGCTTTTTCGACCCTCTTCCCTTTTCCTTTATTCTCCGCCTTTTCTGTGCCTTCACTTATTTATTTGATTATTCATCTCCCCTACTATCGACCTTCATCTATCCTCATCTTCAATTACGCGAGACCCGCGATTATGGGGTTGCGCCCTTCGCGCAAGCCCCGTTTTTTCTTTCCTTTCAAACCGTGTCGCCACTTTCCTGTATATGTGCGTGTGCACGCAAGGCGCAAAGATGGGAGGGGGCTGATTTGTGGTCGCATACACGAGTGTTACGGTTGATCCTGGTGGATATGGGGTTGTGAACCCCGACAAAATATAGATATGAAGGGGAAGGGCTTCTAGTGGCAAAAAAATTTTGTGCCACCCTTCGACCTTTGTAAGTTCATATCATACGCGTAACATGGCCGCAATTAACGTTTTGGGCAAGCAGACAAATGCCGCGCAAAATGGCGTTCTCCGGTGCACGAATTCGCTAGAATAAATTGTTTTATCCGCAGTCGTTGAGACTATTAGTATTTAAAAAATTTTGGGTAGACGTTGGTTTCACTTTCATTATATTTTCCAAGACTTGGCGCTATTCTAGATGAATTCCTATAAATAATTATGTTAGTATCTTATGGCGTCTTTATACAATAGAAGATTTGAAATTAACTTATATTAGAAAGTATTTACTCGTATAACAGAATTATATAAATATTATTTGGATAACCTTTATTTTTTCTATAATAGAAAGGGTAGCTAAACAAATATTTTCAATCTTTATTTTTCTGTGATGATTGGTAAAAGGAAAGTTCCATTAATTAACAATCGTATTCAAGAAAACATATTAAAAATATTATGTATTTTAAAAATGTGAAGTTTTATAACTTTGTATGTTTATATATTTATTTAGTATATATATATATATATATATATATATATATATATATATAAGTTATTAGTAATAATAATAAATAGTAAAGTATAACATTTACATTGTCGTAAGATTTAGAATGTAAAATGTCCTCTTTTCTATATATACAAAAATTCATTATGTTTGGATTATTAAAGAAAAAAAAATTACACCAATTTTAATTTTTAAATAATTCATATATCGAATATGAATTTGAATCATTTTAAATATTAATTCAGGTTGTTATTCAATATTAAATCAGATTAATATTTACTTACAAATATTTATTTTTCATTGTTAAAATAACTATAGTACGCAGTTAAAGGGAAAATATATACGTTGACTTAAGATTTCATTCGTTAACATTTAAATCTTCGTATTTAGCACTATACACTGTTCAAAAATATGAACAGAACATTTTACACTCGTAATTGTATCATTACTTCCATAATAATCGAGGAAATCCTCTGAACTGGCTTTGAAGCCAGCAGCGAACAAATAAAAGTCAAAAGTATAACGGATTTATATATATATATGTGTGTGTGTGTGTGTGTGTGTGTGTGTGTGTGTGTGTGTGTGTGCGCGCGTGCGTGTGGTTTATAAATTTCGAGGGAGGAAAAGGGAGTTGAAAACGGACCTGAAATGAAAAAAGAACTCAGCAGGGTTCTTCACGAATTTAAAAGCATCCACAAGTCGACGTTTGGAGTTCTGCGACAGGTTTGTTTGCACATCGTCTCGATTAACTGAGCTTTACTACAATTTTACAGCCAGTAGAATAAGCTTTTGCTACATAAGAAATGATATGAATGTCAAGGGTTTTATTATGTAGTGCCGAAGTACGGAAATTGTTGATGAACGTTGGGAAAATGTTCAATAAATGATACTAATGGCTTCACTTTATTCATATTTCATGCCAACAATTAAAGTACTAATTAGTCAGATATACCATTGAAATTGATATATTTGCAAATATTCAAGTTCGAATAAAAAGCGTAGATATCGGTACTTAAAATTTTCTATTTAAAATTAAATATTTTTTCATACAATATTATCGAATGAAGCAACTCGGTAATATGCCGCATTTTTCTTGATCAATATTTTTTACTTTCCACAAATTTTCTCAATTCATTGTATCAAGTTTAATATATGAAGAAATAATTATAAACATAATTTAAGAAACAAAAATGAGTGAGTATTATTTGTCAATATGAATTATTTTTAATAAATATTTATGATAATAATTAATACACAATTAGTTATATACGTGTAATTATGGATAATAAAAGAATATAAAGGATGGAAAAAGTTTTGGTATTTTAGTTACTAGATAAATTACATGAAGAAACTATCCGAACAAAAAATTATTTATACTTTGCCTCAATTAATTGAAAATTAATCAGGAACTAACGAAAAATAACAAATAATGATGAAAATTAACAATTATTACTTATATACCCTCTTATAAGTATATAATAAACGTATTCAATATAAAATATTTGTGAAAGTGTTAGTGATATTTTAAACATACGCATACGCGTACACATCCTACAGAAGCGCCCGTGAGTACGCATGCATACTGATACGCATATATATATATGGAAAGAGAGAGAGAGAGAGAGAGAGAGAGAGAGAGAGAGAGAGACGTAATATCACGTGTACACAATACCTTGTAATGTATAGAAATCCATATTTATATTTATATATTTGTATTGTTATAATTGTTAATTCTAATTAAAAATTAAATATCGTGGCAATAAAATAGTAATAAAAAGCATAAGATACTTATAAAAATAATACAAGATCATCGTTATTATTTTCTCAATAATTTCATGATTAACCTTTGTAGAACCTTATTGGTGTAAA